GGCTGTAGTTGTTTGGCGAGAAATTTGGCTATGTTTTGTAGAGGTGAGCCTATGGAGCTGACTATAGGTCTGAGTGGGATTCCTTCCTTGTGTATCTTGGGGAGACCATAGAGTTTGGGGCATCTGGATGATTTCTCTCTGGGAATGATTCTTTGCTGGATCTCTTCGCTAATGGGGGAGGCTTTTATTTTGGATCTGGTGGTTTTTTCCAGGTAGGTGGTGGGATCTGTATTTAGGGGTTTGTATGTGGAGTCTTGGAGTAGGTTGGTTAATTTGGTTTGGTAGTCAGATGTGTTCATAACCACCGTGGCGTTGCCCTTGTCTGCTGGTAGGATTATTATGCTGGTGTCTTCTTTCAGGTTACGTAGTGCTGTCTGTTCCTCTTTGGGTAAGTTGCTTTTGGGTGGCTTGCTGGTGCAGAGGATGTTGGTGATTTCGAGTCTGATTCTGTTGGCGTCGTCAGGGTTGATTTTAGTCAGGCTGGTTTCAACTCCACATATAATGGTTTCAGTGGGGATGTGTTTGGGAGCGACTGCAAAGTTGAATCCTTTGGAAAGGACATTGGTTTCGGCTTTGGTGAGGATCCTATCTGAGATGTTATGCACTGTTTGTTCATGTGTGGCTGTGAGGGAGGAGGGGTTTGTTTCTGGCGTTCTTGTAGTCTTCGGAGTTTGTTGGTGTGTGTATCTGTCTTGAGGGTGGTCTGTGTTTCGGCTCTCCAGACGGCGAGTTGTTTGGATTGGTCCCAAAGTGCGGGGTGGATCTTGTTGCTGAGTTTGAGGTGGAGTGTGAGGAGATCTTTGTTAATTCGGTCTAGGAGGAATCTTTTTGTGTGAAGTTCATTTCTGATTAGGGCCAAATCTGTTCTTTTCAGGATCCGTTTGGTGGCTGCAGAGTTGGAGTGGAATTTCAGTTGGAAACATGTGGGGATTAGATTTTGATCTCGGCAGTTGCGTAGGAATGCGAGGTCGCATAAAATGGAAGCTCTTTGGACTTCAAGTTTTTCATAGGTCCTGGTCAGATGGTGGATTTCCTCCCCGTAGAGGTTCGATATTTGTTTTCTGAGGTTTTCGCGGGTATCTGTATGTAGGTCTTTGGTTGTTCGGGTTTTCTCCCACGTAAAATTGGAAGTGTCTTGGCGACGTTTCGACGAAGTCCCATTCGTCATCTTCAGGCTGGTGCTTTCAGCTTCGTGCCTCGAGCAGCAATGTGTGGTCTTAGCTGTTTCTTCCTTTTAACTGCCAGTGGGGTATGAACTGATTGGGTGGGAGCTTGGCTGTGTTCTGATTGGGTGGAGGTGTGTTCTGATTGGTTAGGGGCGTGGCTGTGCTCTGATTGGCTGGGGGGTGGCTGTGCTCTGATTGGCTGGGGGGTTGGCTGTGCTCTGATTGGCTGGGGGAGTGTTCTGTTTGGTTGTGCTCAGGTTAGTCTGAGTTGCAGAGGGATTCAAGATTTTGGGCTGCCCTGCCATTCCTTGGCTTCGCGTTCGTGGTCGTGCTTCCTCTTCATGGAGGGTGTCAGTTTGCTTCATGTATGGATTGGGGGGGTTTAAAGTGGCTAATGATGCAGCTGTGGTCTGGCTTCTGGTTTGTGGTCGTGCCTCATAGTCAGTGTGGCTTTGGGTTTGTTTTTTGCGTGGATGTTTGGTGGTGACCTCCTGTGTGGTTTTTGTGAGTGTGGGTCTGGTATCATTTTTTGTGTTAGGGAGTCGTTTGTCAATAAGGGCGGGTTTCCAAATGGCTGGTAGGCGGGAGGTATCATCTCGCTTGTTCATGCTGTGTGGGCGTTTTTCTATCTCGATGGCTTCTCTGATTATTCTGTTATTAAAATGTTCACTTTTGGCAATGGTTCTGGTATTTTTAAAGTCAATTTCATGTCCTGTGGCTTTAAGGTGTTGGACCAGGGAAGATGTTGGTTCCTCTTTTTTGATTGAGTTCTTATGTTCTTCAATGCGTGCACTTATTCTTCTGTTGGTTTGTCCGATGTATGTGGTGGGACAAGTGGTGCATGGGATTTCGTATACTCCTTGATTTTCTAATTCAATTTTATCTTTGGGGTTTCTAAGGATGGTGGATATTTTTCTGTTTGTGCAGAATGCTGTTTTGATGTTGTGTTTATGGAGGATCTTACTGATTCTGTCTGTGATGCCTTTTATGTATGGGAGGATGGCTTTGCCGTTTTCTTGTTCTTTGTCTTGGATTTTAGTGGGGGTTTCTTTTTGGATTAGGTTTGTAATCTTATTTCTATGGAATCCATTGGATGTTAGTACATTGGTGAGAGTGTGTAGTTCGGGTTTTAGGTGTTGTTCGTCAGCTAAGCGTTTTGTTCTGGAGATGAGTGTCTTGGCTACAGAGTTGATCTGTGCTGGGTGGTGGTGTGAGAGAGCGTGCAGATAGCGGTTTGTGTGTGTTTTCTTCTGGTAGATGGTGTGTCCTAGGGAGCCATTGGATTTCTTGTAGACTAAGACATCCAGGAAGGGAAGTTGGTTGTTAGCTTCTGTTTCCATGGTGAACTGTATTTTGGGGTGTAGGCTGTTGAGGTGTGTGAGGAAGTTGTCCAGTTTTTCTTTCCCATGTGGCCAGATTATGAAGGTGTCGTCTACGTATCTGAGCCAGAGTTTGGGTTTGTGATCAGATTTTTCTAGAGCTTGGGTTTCAAAGTATTCCATGTAGAGGTTGGCAATGACAGGTGAGAGGGGTGATCCCATGGGTGCTCCTTCTGTTTGTTTGTATTTTTGTCCATTTTTGTCCAAACGCTTAGCTGACGAACAACACCTAAAGCCCGAACTACACACTCTCACCAATGTACTAACATCCATGGATTCCATAGAAATAAGATTACAAACCTAATCCAAAAAGAAACCCCCACTAAAATCCAAGACAAAGAACAAGAAAACGGCAAAGCCATCCTCCCATACATAAAAGGCATCACAGACAGAATCAGTAAGATCCTCCATAAACACAACATCAAAACAGCATTCTGCACAAACAGAAAAATATCCACCATCCTTAGAAACCCCAAAGATAAAATTGAATTAGAAAATCAAGGAGTATACGAAATCCCATGCACCACTTGTCCCACCACATACATCGGACAAACCAACAGAAGAATAAGTGCACGCATTGAAGAACATAAGAACTCAGTCAAAAAAGAGGAACCAACATCTTCCCTGGTCCAACACCTTAAAGCCACAGGACATGAAATTGACTTTAAAAATACCAGAACCATTGCCAAAAGTGAACATTTTAATAACAGAATAATCAGAGAAGCCATCGAGATAGAAAAACGCCCACACAGCATGAACAAGCGAGATGATACCTCCCGCCTACCAGCCATTTGGAAACCCGCCCTCATTGACAAACGACTCCCTAACACAAAAAATGATACCAGACCCACACTCACAAAAACCACACAGGAGGTCACCACCAAACATCCACGCAAAAAACAAACCCAAAGCCACACTGACTATGAGGCACGACCACAAACCAGAAGCCAGACCACAGCTGCATCATTAGCCACTTTAAACCCCCCCAATCCATACATGAAGCAAACTGACACCCTCCATGAAGAGGAAGCACGACCACGAACGCGAAGCCAAGGAATGGCAGGGCAGCCCAAAATCTTGAATCCCTCTGCAACTCAGACTAACCTGAGCACAACCAAACAGAACACTCCCCCAGCCAATCAGAGCACAGCCAACCCCCCCAATCAGAGCACAGCCAATCAGAGCACAGCCAAGCCCCTAACCAATCAGAACACACCTCCACCCAATCAGAACACAGCCAAGCTCCCACCCAATCAGTTCATACCCCCACTGGCAGTTAAAAGGAAGAAACAGCTAAGACCACACATTGCTGCTCGAAGCACGAAGCTGAAAACACCAGCCTGAAGATGACGAATGGGACTTCGTCGAAACGTCGCCAAGACACTTCCAATTTTACGTGGGAGAAAACCCGAACAACCAAAGACCTATATAGATATATATATATATATATATATATATATATATATATATATATATATATTATTATTATATACATACACACACACACAAAAAACTTATAATAAAGGTAAAAAAAGGATATATGCAGTGTTATCTTCATTTTAGATATCAAAAGGGTTTTGCGGCTCCCGGTGTTTTGTTTTTGGTGGGAAACGGGTCCAAGTGGCTCTTTGAGTGTTTTGGGTTGCCTACCCCTGATCTAGGTCAATGCATATTCAATTATGTATATCCTGTACAGTTCTGTAGCGGACAATATATTTCTGACAAAATTTAAAATATCATTGTTATCACCCATCATAAAGTACAGTCAGACTGTTGTGCTCATGGCCATACCATCTGCGTAAAGACAGCTATTTCTTTCTTTTAAGGAGGAGTCATCAGCTGTTTGTTAACAATAATAGAACTAGCAGGTGTGAGCTGAAAAAAATCTAAAAAATTTCTAGGGGTTAGGAAAGAGCTGTGTTTGCCATAGTTCTTCTTCTTCTTCTTCTTTTTAAACCTAATGGCCATAATGATTTTGCAACCCAGATTGTTCTACTAGTTACCCAATGTCAATGCATTGTTTGCTTAGTCATGCAAAGAAAAATCGAATGGTTGGTTACCAGGAAAAAAGGTTCCCTTTGCACCAACATTTATACATCTAACACATAGTTTAGAAAGTTATAAATCTTACTTTTCTGTTAATCCTGATGACTTCTCACTCTGTTTTTGTGCACTTCTATGTATCTCATGAGGAGGATGAAACTGTGCAGAGTTTAATGAAATTAAATTGCATCCTGTTAGGATTAATATTTTGGGGGATATCACCGCTCCCACAGAGCCAATATACTACAGTCTTCTCTTCACTTGTAACTAAGTTTCTCTTTCTGATCCTGAAAGAATAACGAGTGTGAGATTGAATTGAATCCCCTGTGTGCCATTTTGAATTTCCAGAAGAAAAGTGAGAGTTAAATATATTAAATAAATACTATTCAACTACTGCCCATCTTTAAAATAGTTAAAAATGTTAAAAATGGGTTTTTTAAAATCTGCCGACAATTTTTGTATTTCAATAGATATTTGGAACAAAACAGGAGCTGTTAAACTCATCAGATGGTCTCCTGATAATTGTGTTGTTATGGTGACCTGGGAATGTGGAGGCCTGTCTTTATGGAGTGTATTTGGAGCCCATCTTATTTGTACTCTAGGAGGTGACTTTATGTAAGTAACTTGTGCTTCATATTAGGAAATTTAACCAAAATATGTACCTGCTCTTTAACTTTTTATTTGCTACACAAAGCTTTTAAAACTATTTTTCTTTGCTTAGCTGTTTAATATCTCATATTGTATATATTATTGACTGAGTTAGTAAAGCAAAAGGCTCATTTTTTCTGCACAATATTTTAATAAATGAAATGTTTAACTTGTCTGCAACTACAAAACCAATTCTCCCTTCAGTCTTTGTTGTACAAAATATAGATCTGTGTTTTTATGTGTGATGTATACCATCAAATTCAGAGCTATTTTTAATAGCCACAGAAGAGCTTCCTCGTGGTTAGTAGACTTGTTGAAGTTGAGAAAACTTATCTGATATGATACTTTTAAATTAATAGAAAAGTACAAATGATACTAAAAATCCCTAGAATAGCGTTACTGAAATATTTGTGATATAATGCCTATTTTTCTTGGCTATTTTGGTTTAATACATCAAGAATGAAAAGGAGGGACTTGGAAACAGAATTAAAAATGCCTCCTAATTAGTATGTATGTAGTGAATTGAAAGACACATTCTCTTTAATATCCAATATTTAAATGTAATATTTTGTTTATGCTATTCATTTTAGTCATCGAACTGATGGTACTAAAAAGGACCCTTTAAAGATCAGCTCTATGGTGAGCATCATTTATTATTGTCTTACTAGTCTCTTTTTCTCCCTCATCTAGGCACACGCAATTAAATTTATTCTAATACTTTCCCAAATAAATTAACCTGGACTTATCCACGCTGCTTAAATTGAACCTCTTTCTGCATTTATGTTACAATCCAGATATTTTTAAGTTACTTTCTTAATTTAATTTACTTAATTTACACAAAGACAAATATTCAGGTTCATAAGACTTAGCAAATTATATTCTCTGTCTAGGACAGATCTTAGAAAAATCACAGCATGTCGTTCCTTCTGCCAGAATAATAAGACCATTCAGTTCATAGGAACTAGAATATGTCTTGGATAACTGTACTCAGCAAATACTGCCGATATTTCACAGAACATGCCTGACCTTTGGATACGGATTTTGTCTGCAGTTTTTCCTAGCACATGGCTCTGAGAGGTATATAGAATGGTGAAAATATCTGAAAATGGTGGGAAAGGGAGATATAAAGGAGAAGAAATGTGCTTTTCATTACACTTATTGGTGTCAACTTGATATTAAGCATTCTTTGAGTAGAAAAATTCTAAACAGTATTTCTTTATTCCAGTGTTTTAGTTGTTTTAAATAGCAATAGACTTTTATACTGCATCATAGTGCTTTACAGCCCTCTCTAAGCAGTTTACAGAGTCAGCATATTGTCCCCAACAATCTGAGTCCTCATTTTACTAATCTTGGAAGGATGGAAGGCTGAGTCAATGTTGAGCCAATCAGGATTGAACTGCTGGCAGTTAGGAGAGTGAGTCTACAATACTGCATTCTAATCACTGGGCCACCACGGCTCAGAATGATGATAAATGATACACTCTATTTTTTTTTTCTTAGAGCTGGGGATCAGAAGGCTATCATTTATGGGTAATCGATGCAAATAATTTTGGGAATTCAGTGACTGAGAGCAAAAACAAAGGACAGCATTTTGGTATTTTGCAATTTCAGTTCATCAAAAGTGCACTCGCAGTTAATCCTTGCATAGTAAGTATTCATGTTTGATGATTTGTAGTCCTAGGTCAATTTTATTACCTTTTTGGTCAAAACGTTGCCTAATTTGGATTATCTTAAAATTGTTTTTTTTTAATGTAAATGAAATTGTATATAATAATATGGCGGTGCAAACATTTGAAACATGAAAGTGCTACCACTCTTAAATAATCTTTTTCCAATTTTATTCGGTTTTCTTATTTTCTTTGAAACTTTATGTTATTCTTCACTGTCTGAAGTACTGATTTCTTTTGTTTATTCACAGAGCAGCCAGGAGCAGGTCCTCCTTCAGGGAGAAGATCGCTTATACTTGAACTGTGGTGATGTAGTGCAAGCTCAGAATCCTAGAAGTTCCTCAGCACATGCTGAACATAAGACTGTCAGAGAAAGAGGCCAATTTTCATATGAGAACTTAGATTCTCAGGGTTTAAGCACTTTATTAGGGCACAGACATTGGCATGTTGTACAGGTAACTTCTTCTCTTGGTACTTGACTGCTTCCCTTTTCATATCTTATTTTTTGAAAACCTGTCAGCTGTTGCTGTGAAAGAAGACCAGATTAAAAACTAGTGACTTCCCAAGGCTACGTCTTAAACTGCTTGGAACTTTGAGTGTGGCTTTCCCATAATACAGCTCTATAATTGCTATTGTCTATTAGGATCAAAATATCTTTACTGTTAAAACATCCTAACTGAATTTTTTTTACTTACGTTCCTGATAGAATGCACATATATACATGCCAATAAATATACATATGCCAATAAATATATAAGATATAGACGCAAATAAAATTTGCTAATAATTTGACCTCATGTAATAGTGTAGATGAAATCCTTGACTTACAACCATCCATTTGTGGATTGCTACAAGCTATGGAATTTTAGTCACCAGTTTTACATTTCAGGAAAAGAATTAAAGACTAGTTCTTCAGCCAGTTTTTTTTATTTATAGTATTATTCTAGTTGTTTCATTGGGTTTTTAATTGTTTTACATCATTCAATTCCTTGAATGTTCTTTGCAGTGGAAAGGGGAGAAAAGCAAATAAAAATAAATCAGATTGGCTATTAATACTCCACCAAATCATTTAACATAGGAGGACAGACTTTTGAAAAAAATCATTAGCTATCAGATGGGTAAATATTCATGTGAATTTTTAAGATGTATATTTTTTTCAAGATTAAAATGTTTCTAATCAGGCAAGTAACCTCTCAGCAGAAAGAATTCCAAACACCTGATTTCCTTAAGGGCCAAACCACACATTAAGTCAGACGTGTCAAACTCATGACGTCACGCAATGTATCGGGACTGTTTTGCCATTGCTGGCAATGGGGTGGGCGTGGCTTCTGCATGACGTGTCCAGCCCGCAGGTCAGCAGTTTGACACTCCTGCATTAAGTCATAGCTCCATGTTTAGAGCTCACATAATATTTCTCAGGAACCACTATAGGATGGTTCCATTTTTTATTGAGGTTAGGGAAGAGATGAGTCCCCAGTATTTTTGGCCTCTATCGAATTGTGACTTTGTGATATCAGCAAGTGCTGGATTTAAAACAAAGTGAGAAAGTTACAATGAAGGGAAAGGTATAAAACAGGGGTCTTCAAACTTGGCCCTTTTGTGACTTGTGGACTTCAACTCCCAGAATTCCTCAGCCAGGCACGCTGGCTGAGGAATTCTGGGAGTTGAAGTCCACAAGTCATAAAAGGGCCAAGTTTGAAGACCCCTGGCATAAAATAAAGAATGATCTAGATAGATTCAACAGCTGATATGCATGTCAAGATATAACCATAGATCAAGTAACGTCTCAGATTTGGGAACTGAAAATTTGTATGGAAGAAACCTTATCCACTCTATAATATTGGAGTATGTAGGTAATAAAATATAGAAAGATCAGTGCTGGATGATTATTCCAATAGGTTTGCATAGTACAATAAATTATTAGTATATTTGATGTAAAAACAATGTTTCCAATCTTAATTTTTCTTTATTAAAATGCATAATTATTGTAGCATTGTTTCTACCAAAATGTACTCAGCTTTAGACATTTTGAGACAAATTATATGCAAATCCTATCATTAGTAGTTATCATTGGTGACCTTTTATTTTAAACAATCCTTTACAGTCACCCTGATATTGTAAAAAATGCTGAATATCTACTATACAAATACCCAGAGATCTTGTACTGAAAATGGGAACAAATATCTGCAGATGAAACCATGTAATATTTTATCTATTGACTTTGATGAAGTGTGGTAATTGTAATAATTTTTCATAATGCTTTTTTTTCCTTTTTTTTTTAAAGATTCACAATATATATTTAGAAATCAACTGGCCTATAAGGGTAAGTTGTTTTAAAATGTTAATACATTGTATTGAGAAAGAAACTTCATTTTTTGTAGAAATGAATTTGATGGGGCAGCTTGTATTAGAAATTACGATTAATGAAATAGAGCAAATAGTATAATTCCTTTGTTAATAAGGATCTAACAAATTGCATTTGTTTAGTTTTCAGCCATTGATAAGATGGGGCAGAATGTAGCTGTAGTTGGCAAATACGGCTTTGCACATTACTCTCTGCTTTCCAAAAAATGGAAATTGTTTGGCAACATTACCCAGGTAAGTGACTGATTATAAATTAATTAGTGGGGAAAGAAACATTACTATCTAAAAATATTATTACCAATTTATAGAATGTCCTTGAGGTTTACAGACTTGATGGTTGGAATAAACAGTAGATTTTTAAAAAGTTGAATAATTCTAGCTTTCCATTTAATTTTAGGAACAAAATATGACTGTTACTGGAGGCTTAGCATGGTGGAATGACTTCATTGTCATTGCATGTTACAACTTAAGTGACCGCCAGGAAGAGGTAAGGCAGACCTTGAATATAAAAGACTGAAATTCTTCTGTTGGTGCACTTTTATGGCAACATTAAATAGAAATCTGCCTGTCACATAGTTATATTAAAACTTTGTTGCCTGCATAGCAGTAACAATGTCCCAGATTTCAACTACTTGTTATTTTCATTTTTCTTTCTGTTCTCAGAAAGTATTAGGGTTAAAATTAATACTCCCCAAAATTCTGATTTTTGTAAATATGTTTTTTTATCAGAACTGAGGAACTTATTGAGATAAGGAATGCCCAGTGTTATTTTTCAAACAAAACTAAGAGGAGATAGTAGACTCATTCTAAAATTCCAAGGATGTTTTATGGCAAGCTATATTGGGATATACTTGGGATAAGAGAAATTCCCTAAATTTTTATATCCAAATATAAGTAACGTGATGTTAGTCTCACTTTCCTTATGAGTATGATAGTTCAGAAATTGGATTCTCCATCTAAAGGTTTATCTCCATGAAAGCTATATTGTTTCATACTGTAAGTTTAATTGTTCAAATGTCTGCCCATTATTACTTTTGCATTGTGTTTTTAACATGATAAATATAGAGCTTTCTTTCTTTCTCATCTCAAGGAGGAAAGGGATAGTGAATGAATAATATTAGTATCACAACAGAGATGAAAAATCCATTCCCTGAAAAATCTAGTTAAAGTGTAGATCAGCCAGGTTGCTGAAAGAAGGAGGCTAGAAAATTAGTTTAAATTCTCCTTATAGGTTTGTGATCAAAAGTATTCATTATTCTTTCAGCTAAGAGTATATTTACGAACAGCCAATCTGGACAATGCATTTGCTCATATCACCAAAGTGCAGGCAGAAACATTATTGCTCAGCGTCTTTCGGGACATCATAATTTTGTTCAGAGCAGACTGTTCCATTTGCCTTTATAGTATTAAAAGAAAATCTGATGGGTAAGTATACTTCAAATAAGTTATTGCATAAATTGTTATATTTTGTTTTTCTTTAGAGTATGGGTGAGGGCAGGGGAAGGCAACCTTGACTCTTTTATGCTGGCTCAGGAATTCTGGGAGTTGAAGTCCACGAGTCATAAAAGCCAAGGTTGCCTACCCTTGGGTCAGGGAGAAAGAAACCTTTGGTGAAACTCTCTGAAACAGATTTGAGTGGTGCCCTTTTTGCTCTTGTTCATTCTGATGTGGCCCCCTTGTAAACAATTACCCAGAGTTCAGTATTACAGGCATTCAGCAGATACTTCATGTTAGGGAACTCAGCAAAGCTAACCTTTACAATGAAAACATTTTCCTTAACCAGTAGCATTAGAAAATTGCCAAAGATATATATATATGTGTATGTATATAGGTCTTTGGTTGTTCGGGTTTTCTCCCACGTAAAATTGGAAGTGTCTTAGCAACGTTTTGACGAAGTCCCATTCGTCATCTTCAGGCTGGTGCTTTCAGCTTCGTGCTTCGAGGAGCAATGTGTGGTCTTAGCTGACGAACAACACCTAAAAACCGAACTACACACTCTCACCAATGTACTAACATCCAATGGATTCCGAAGAAATAAGATTATAAACCTAATCCAAAAAGAAACCCCCACTAAAATCCAAGACAAAGAACAAGAAAACGGCAAAGCCCTCCTCCCATACATAAAAGGCACCACAGACAGAATCAGTAAGATCCTCCATAAACACAACATCAGAACAGCATTCTGCACAAACAGAAAAATATCCACCATCCTTAGCAACCCCAAAGATTAAATTGACTTAGAAAATCAAGGAGAGAAAACCCGAACAACCAAAGACCTACATACAAACACCCGCGAAAACCTCAGAAAACATATATATGTATGTATGTATATGTATATGTATATGTGTGTGTGTGTGTGTGTGTGTATGTATATAGTTCAGTCTATAACAGTGATGGCGAACCTTTTAGAGACCGAATGCTCAAACTGCAACCCAAAACCCACTTACGTATTGTTGGGTGCCGGGTGGGCTTGGCCCATTGGGTGGGCGTGGCTGCGGTGGTAACGGCAGACTGGATGGGACTAAAAAGTTCAATCAATCAATTCCAACTTTGTGGGATCTTTTTTTCCCCACGAGAAGTTGAAATTGATTGATTGATTGATTGAACCTTTTTTTTTTTTTTGCACACGGCAGTGGAGGCCTAAAGCGAAAAGGTTTTATAAAACCCAACTGAAGGCCTAGGACTGGGGCAATGACGTGTGTGCTCACAGAGAGGGCTCTGCGTGCCACCTGTGGCACGCGTGCCATAGGTTCGCCACCACGGGTATATAGCATATTATAATCTGACTTACTTTTCAGTGCTGTTTGCTTTATTTGGTTACATAGTATATTTGCAATATCTTGGGTCTAGTAAGGATTGTTGTATTATATGAAAATTATTATCACATTCATAAATAAAAATGTCAGAATACCTTTTCAAGTCTCACAAATATTTATTTGGGGCTAGGAGGAGACTGACCACTGGACTTTTCTTTGTCTTTCAGCCCTAATCCCACTACAAGTATTCAGGTTCTGCAAGAGGTGTCTATGTCACGTTATATTCCTCACCCTTTCCTTGTTGTGTCTGTTACTTTAACATCAGTAAGAACAGAGACAGGTATCAGCTTGAAAATGCCACAGCAGGTATCTACAGTTTTTAAAATTATTTTAAAGCTAGAGAAAACAGACTTTATACTTGAAAACAGTATACATAAGACAACATCGTCCCTCATCAAATCTGCCCCATGGTTGGGGCAAGATATACGATAGAGACATGGCTGATAAATCATGGTGTTTTAGGTTAAAGAGAAGAGAAAAATGCATGTGTTTGAACTAATACTGATTTTCCAGAACATCCTAATGTACACAATATCTTTATGAAGGAATGATTTGGATTGCTGCTGTTTTTGCTGTTTCCTATAGGGCAGGGGCCTTCAAATGTGGCCCTTTTATGACTTGTGGACTTCAACTCCCAGAATTCCTCAGCCAGCGTGTGTGACTGAGGAATTCTGGGAGTTGAAGTCCACAAGTCATAAAAGGGCCATGTTTGAAGACCCCTGCCTGCTGTAGGGTTTTTTTGTTTTGTTTTTTGTTTTAAAAAAGGTGATGCTACTGAGAAATTTCTATTCTTCTGAATGAGAGTTTACTTGTAAAACTTTTGATGAATCAGTATGGCTGTAGTTTACTTGTAAAACTTTTGATGAATCAGTATGGCTGTATGATGTTCAGCATAAAAAATAAACTACTGGGAAAGATAAGGGATCTAATGTTATCAATGATAGTCAGCTTTACTTTTTCGAGAAGGCAGTTGGGTCATCAGCTTTTTGTCTATAATCAGCGTGGCTTGAATGCAATTGAATAGTATGCTTTTATAAACACAGGGCTGATAATGATGTGTTTGAACTTTTAGAAAAATAGTAAATCCAGCAGAATTGAAAAATAATAATAAACATTGTTTTTTTTTTTTTAAGGCCTGTGAAGCAGAGAGCATTATGTTAAATTTAGCAGGACAGTTAATCATGGTACAGAGGGATCGATCAGGTCCTCAGATACGAGAAAAGGAGAGTAGTCCCAACCAAAGGAAACTTGTGAGTTAATTTATGGAAAAATTTCATTGAAAGGAATGCACTTTGTGAATTAATCTAAATGTGTAATACTTTGTTGATCTTATAACTAAAGCAAGTATTCTTTGTTAATGAATGACTGTAACTTTTTGAAATTCTTATGACATTGCTTTTCTGTAACTGCCTTTTTTTAGATCAGGGGTTCTCAACCTTGGCAACTTTAAAACTTATGGACTTGAACTCCCAGAATTCCTCAGCCAGCTTTGCTGGCTGAGGAATTCTGGGAGTTCAAGTCCACAAGTCTTAAAGTTGCCAAGGTTGAGAACCCCTGTTTTAGATGCAAATTAAATTTGTTTCCATTATTATTTTCAAATAGCACTTGCTTACCCAACATTGTATGATAGCGATTAATGTACAAGTTTGTTTTCAAACACAACTAACAATGTGAACTGTAGCAATACCTTAATAAATATAGAAAGGAAAGGAGACAAAAATAAAGGATTTAATATCAGTAGCAAATGTAGACAGCACTGTAACTTTAGATTATTTTTAAATGAACCTGTCCTTCATTTCTGTACTTTGGTAACCCACTTATGTTGTTACAGGTAATAAGCTGTGTTGCTGATTATTTAAAATAATATGGGGAAAATACATTGTAGTAACAGGATAATATTAAAAAAAATATGGAGGAAATTAGGGAGAGTTACATTAATTTAGTAAACTAACATTTGATCATGCTTATATTAAAGAAGGATGAGATGTCAGCAGAAGTAATGTTTGTGTGTTGCCATATAAGACTTGATGAATAACTTGTAAAAAGGGAAAAAAAGAAAATAGCCTAATTAGTATTATTCCTATGTTTTCAGCTGCCATTTTGTGCTCCTGTTGTACTTGCCCAGTCTGTAGAAAATGTTTGGACGACCTGCCGTTCTAACAAACAGAAACGGCACATATTGGAGGCTCTATGGCTCAGCTGTGGGGGATCAGGTATGAAGGTCTGGCTTCCTTTGTTTCCCAGGGACCATCGCAAACCACATTCCTTTCTTTCAAGACGGATCATGCTGCCTTTCCACATTAATATCTACCCCTTGGCTGTTTTGTTTGAAGATGCCTTGGTTCTTGGTGCTGTCAATGACACTGTGCTTTACGACTGTTTATACACTCACAGCAGTGCTGTTGAACATTTAGAGGTCCTCTTCCCCTTCTGTATTGTTGAGAGAACATCTCAGATCTACCTCCATCACATTTTACGCCAGCTTTTGGTGAGGAACCTAGGTGAACAAGCCTTGCTTTTGGCTCACTCTTGTGCCGCATTACCGTATTTTCCTCATGTACTAGAACTGATGCTCCACGAAGTGCTGGAAGAAGAAGCTACCTCGCGGGATCCCATTCCCGATCCTCTCCTTCCCACTGTGGCTAAATTTATTACAGAGTTCCCCCTCTTCCTACAGACTGTTGTTCATTGTGCTAGAAAAACAGAATATGCCCTGTGGAATTATCTCTTTGCTGCTGTTGGAAATCCAAAAGACTTGTTTGAAGAGTGTTTAATGGCCCAGGATTTAGACACAGCTGCATCTTACCTTATTATTCTGCAGGTAATTGTATTCACTCATCTTATTCTGAAAGTGATATGATGTGTTAAACATGCATCCCAAAGGACACAAGCATCTTATTTTGACAGAGTCTTGTCTCTTACAAGTATATATTTATTAAATAAGGATGGAAATAAAAAAAGAGAGAGGGGGATGCTAATTATCTTTGGGAATGAAATTGTCTATTATGCAGTCATATGTAAGTACCCATATAGAGGAGCTGATTCATATAATAGGTGCCTCTAGGCCAGGGCTTTTCAACCTTTTCACCCATTGTACCACTTTTAAGGTATAGCAATATCCGAGTACCTTCAGTTGCCTAGTAAGGTGTCAAAAACTTGATGACCAAAAAAAAAAAAAAAAAGAAAAAAGAAAAAAAGTGATAAAATACAGGTAGTCCTCAATTTACAACAGTTTGCTTAGTGACTGTTCAAAGTTACAGTGGCACTGAAAAAAGTGGCCCCCAAGCCACAGCTGAGCAAGATACCTGCCTGCCCGCCTGGCGGCGCTCTTCCTCCTATCCAAGGTTTTCATTGTTGTGAGCATTTCTGTTGAGGATTGGCAGTGGGGGTGGGGTGGGGGGTATTTGGTTTTTATTCCCCCCCCCCTCTGCTGGGTGATTGCAGCAAGTTTTGGTCACTTCACATGACCCTGGGACACTGTGACCATCATAAATATGAATCAGTTGCCAAGCATCTGAATGTAAATCACAAGATCCTGGAGATGCTGCAACATTCCAGCTGATCAGCGCTTCTTTTGGGCTCAGCAGAAGTGCCAGGATCAGGGCTGCTTTCCAGCTGATTGGTGCTTCTTCAGGGCTCAGCAGAAGCGCCAGGATCAGCGCCAAGCTCCAGCTAGAGCCTGGCACTGATTCTGGCGCTTTCACTGAGCCCTGACAGCCCCGAAGAAGTGATCCTGGTGCTTCTGCTGAGCCCTGACAGCCCTGCAGCTCCAGCCATCTCTCACTCAGGCTTGTGCGGTGCTGCCACTGGTTCAGCTCATTCCCCTCCCCCGCTACCACTTTTCTAGGATGGTCGCGTACCACCTGCCAGGTGCCAATGTACCACAGGTGATACCCGTACCACTGGTTGAAAAGCCCTGCTCTAGGCCATTTCCAGTTAGCAGTCCTATCATAGTCATGGACAGTAAAATCATGGGCCATAATTATTGGACTTGGACAATGAAATGAAAGGTGTGAAGTCTGATGCATGCGTTTATCTGCAGCCTTTCTTGTTTGCTTATTGTTTTGCTAAATAAAAAGGATCAGTGGCTTCTGTGTAAAAAGTGGTTTATATTGGTTCCAGAATATGGAAGTTCCAGCAGTTAGTAGGCAGCATGCAACTCTGCTATTCAATACAGCTTTGGAGAAAGGAAAGTGGGATCTTTGTCGGCACATGATCAGATTTCTGAAAGCCATTGGCTCTGGAGAATCCGAAACTCCTCCTGCTACACCAACAACTCAGGTTTGAAAGGCACATGATTGCTTTATCATAAATGTCTTTGACAGTAATCCAGATATAAATTTGGGGGAAAAAATGTTAAACTCACATGGAACTTGCTAACTGTCCAGTTATCAGATACATGGATTAATAAATGGATTCTAATCATACACTAAACCATAGTCCTTTTTATTAATGAATGACTGTATGTGAACATGATTATTTGATGGTTAAGGATAACTAGAACTTGTAACCCTTATTTGGCATCTTAAGCAAAGGGTCCGTTTAGCTTTGCTTGTGTATAGTGTCACAAGACTAGTCTATGCGTTGTTTTAGTCCTAAAAACAAGTATGGTAAAAGCATTGTGAATCAAATTTTGATTTTGTAAATCAAAATGACTCCATCAATCCACATCATGCTACTGCTTTTGCCATTTCTAGCTTGTTACTTTAAATTCCTTTAAAAGGAAGTTGGGTGGTCAGGTATTTTGATCAAAGGGAATAGGGGGAAAGAGTCATATTTTCAAACTTTAGCATAGCACTTTCAGTATCAGCAGAATCACTATTTGCTAGCAGTTGTGCTTTGATGTCTGCAATCTGCAAGATGTCCAAGCTAGGCCTATGCTTTTTTGCTAACAAATGACAAGATGCCTGGACAGAGGGTTTTTTCTCTTAAGCTATTTGATTTTAAAAGTTATAGGCCTTTTTTTAACAAATAATCAAATATAGCATTAAGCCTGTCTGAAGGAGTAGCCCACCTTAATGTCATAATATAAAAAGAAAGCAAAAAAGTTACTATTATCTAAAATGTTTTGAAGTCATTATAAGTAAATGGATATTTTTTTCAGGGAGCATCTGTTTGATGGAGGATTTCTTGAATAGTTCACTATTGTGAAATTCATTAGAAATATTTATTTCACCATAAAACCTACTCTCAGCTTTTCTAGTTTTCAGCCAGTTGGCTCTTTGCTTTAAATTTAATATAATCAATTTAGACACTGCCTAACTCTAATCAATTCTCCAACCTGTCTAATCCCTTTCTTCCATGTAGGAACCTACTTCAAGTGGTGGCTTTGAATTCTTCAGACATCGCAGTATTAGCTTGTCTCAATCTGGAGAGACACTTCCAGCTGGCAAATTTAACTTGCAAAAAACCTTGAGCATGCCATCTGGCCCGTCTGGGAAAAGGTAATCAAGTAGAAGAGAATATACGATTCTTGCTATACCAGGGATAGGCAACCCAAAACACTCAAAGAGCCACTTGGACCCGTTTCCCACCAAAAACAAAACACCGGGAGCCACAAAACCCTTTTGATTTCTAAAATGAAGATAACACTGCATATATCTTTTTTTACCTTTATTATAGGTGTGTGTGTGTGTGTGTTTGTGTGTGTGTACACACACACACACACACACACACACACACACACATTAAAAATAAAAGTAAAAATATGACTCTTGGGAATATCCATACTATTAAAACAATGATCACCAAGAGAATGCTTTAATGCTTTAAGAGAATAAAATTACATACACACACAGGTAAAAAAAGGATATATGCAGTGTTATCTTCATTTTAGATGTCAAAAGGGTCTCTCTCTCTCTCTCTCTGTCTCTCTCCCTCCCTCCCTCTCTATCTGCCCTTGGTCTGCCACTCCTCTTCCCTCACTCTCTTTCTTTCTCAATCTCTTTCCTTTCTCTCTCTCTCTCTCTCTCCCCCCCTCCCTCTCTCTCTCCCTTTCTCTCTCTCTCTTTCTACCCCCCCTCCTATCTGATGCTCACCTGGCAAGCTTCAAGCTGTTGTCCAACAAGCTCAGGGGTAAGCAACCTCGTCTCTTTTATGACTCATGGACTTCAACTCCCAGAATTCCTGAGTCAGCCTAGCTGGGCTAGCTAGCTCTCTCCTGCCCTTCCTGCTTCCTGCTTCCTGCAGAGATGCAGCAAAGGGAGGAGCTCCGCCCAGTAAGCTTTTCAGCTCCTCGGAGAACACTGTGAGTGCACTCTCTTTTATACACAGAGAAAGAGAGAGAGAGAGAGAGAGAGAGAGAGAGAGAGAGAGAGGGAAGCAGGGAAGCGCAATTGCCTCTCTCTGTCTCTGTCTCTTTCTGCAAAGGCAGAGGAGGCTGGGAGCCACAGGGGAAGGCTCAAAGAGCCGCATGCGGCTCCGGAGCCGCAGTTGCCGACCTGTGTGCTATGCCTTTCATTGCATCAAGCCTATATGTATTAAATTACAGAGATTATGCTATAGTACTTACTTTATTTGATGCTGAAATTTCACAATCTCCAACATGATTCCTAGAAAATTCGGCCAAGTCAACAAATAAAATAAAAGTATGTTTTTGGCGTTAACCTCCTTGTTTCCTATCTTTGTAGATTGAGTAAGGAAAGTGATTGTGCTGAGAACATGTATATTGACATGATGTTGTGGAGACATGCTCGACGTCTTCTGGAAGAAATCAGGCTTAAGGATCTTGGTTGTTTTGCTGCGCAGCTGGGCTTTGAGTTGATAGGCTGGTTGTGCAAAGAGCGTAACCGAGCTGCCCATGTGGACGATTTTGTGACTGCCTTGAAGAAATTACACAATGATTTTCTTTGGCCATTTCCCATTATCCCAGTGTGCTCCATAAATTCACCTCTGAAGAATGGAAAATGTAGGACAGGTATCTTATCCTTACTCTCGTTTAATTTATCAGAAACTAAATGTAGCTTTAGAGTAAATGGAAGTTTACAGTGCAATTACCTTTCATTTTGTGTTTTCAGACATTACGTGATTATTTTCATAGTTGTATATAAAGCCATTGTTGGTACTACCATAGAGGGAAATATAGCAGGCATTTTGAATTCATGTTATGCTGCACATTAGCACATTAAAATTAAACATGTTTAATTCAGTCTTTGAAATTAAACTATTTAAACAAAGAATAAAAACATATAGCAAGTAATTGTTGGAAGAGGATACTATCTACCTGATGAATGTTACAGTTAAAGTGTTCATAGGAAAGAAAATAAGTGGGTTTGGTTTCATTGTGTGCAGGTTACACTGTGTGTGGCTTTATTAATCTATACTGAAGCTCACAGTAGATATCCTGAAATACTAGGAGTTGGTTATAAGTCCTTGAAATGAATTAGGCTTGAAATATTAAATAGCATGTTTAAGGCTATTCCCATGCTTTCATTTCCAGTAATAGGTGAACAACTCTTAAAATCACAGTCTGCTGACAGCTTTTTAAACATGGAAATAGACAGTGGCCTCCCAGATGTACCAAGGAGTCATAGCTGGTTTGGTGCCATCAGCTCCTCCCAAAGAGAGATGGATACAGCATCCTCCCACGGCCCTCAAATGCAGGAGGCATTTCTCTCACCTTTGTTAAGTAAAGTGGGTGAGTTCTTTATTCTGATATTTGGCTTTCTTTTAGGTGATCGTGGGTGTCTTATCTGAAAATAAAAATATACTTTTCATATATAACAATGGCCATTTGCTTCTTCGTCTTTCTTGGGAATAATGCAGAAGGTAAAGGATTCAATAGCAGAGGAAAAAACAAACCAATAATATGTTCATATTTGGAATGAATTCAAAATAGGAATTGTATTGGCAGCAGCAATCTAGAACTTCATCACAAGATAGCATATGTACATGTATAGTGACCATGCTAGTCTCTTTTGGAGTAAGCAAGAACAAGAATAATAAATATTAAATTGAAAAAAAGTTTACTTATATCCCACCTTTATTATTTTTATAAACAACCCAAGGTGGTCAACATACCTAATCCTCCTTCCTCCTCCTATTTTCCCCATAACAACAATCCTGTGAGATTGGTTGAACAAAGAGTGAGTAACTGGCCCAAACTCACCCAGCTGGTTTTCAGGTCTAAGGAGGGACTAGAACTCACCATATCCTGGTTTCCAGCCTGGTGCCCTAACTACTAGAACGAGCTGTCTTGTTCAAATCAACATCATTCAGTATAACTGTCCTTATGTGTCTGTCCTTATAAACTATGACCAAACTTCTTAACCTGTTGTTCTTAAGGAATTCATTAAGCACAACCTCCTGAAAGCCCTCTTACTCTCAACAAGTTTTGTATATTTGCTTTGCTATTAGATTCACATTCATTCTCTCTGTACAGATAGTCCTTCCTTGACAGAGGTACTTGGAACCGGCAACTCCGCTACTAAGCAGCGTGGTCATAAAATACAATGTCATGTGACTGTATCCTCTTAAGGTGGCAGTTGAAATTACAGTTATTAAGCAAATCTCACACAGTCGTTGGGTGTGACGTCACGTGATTGCCATTTGCGACCTGCCAGCTTCTCCATTGACTTTTGTTGGAAGCTGGCAGTGAAAGTCACACATGGTGATCTTCTGACTGAGGGACACATAGCCATTGTTATTGCAAGTCGATTGCCAAGTGCCTGAATCTTGATCCTCTGACCAAGAGATGCTACAATGACCACAACTACAAGGAACAGTTGCAAGTCTCATTCAACACCACCGTAACTTCAAATAGTTGTTGAACGAGCATTTGTTAAAAGAGGACTACCTATATGACTAACTTAGTTTGTACTCAGTTCACTGTTATTCAGCACCAACTCATTCTTATCCTATCTCTTGTTTTACGGCATCCACTTCTTAAGTATCCCATATCACAGTCATACCTACAATAATTCTCATTTCCATTTTGCACGTTGGGGAGATTCATGCTCTAAGTACACAACTATTTTACCTTTTTTTCCTTGCAACAGAAAACATGCCGCCCTCAGCCTTTCTTCTGGCATTTACATATTTTAAATTTTGTTTCTCCATTTCCCCTTCCTTAGTAAAGTCATTTATTTGCTGCTATTTGGGCTATTTATGTATACTTTATGATTGTTCACTCAGTTTTCCAAGTGAAACACAACTTGTTTTGTTCCCTTAATTTTTTGAGGTACAAACACTTTCGTGCATCACACAGATTAGTGTTCACTGCAGATGTGGTACTTGATAACATGACATCTACATACAAAACTACATACAGGTTTCATGCTTTTTAACATTCCACAAGCATTCTCATACATTTATCCATAAAATATTAAAGAGCCAAAGGTACACTACTATATACTGCTGAGATGCAGTTTTTCGCACACTTTAAATAAGACACAGAGAAACCAAAACATCTATATTTGTTTTGCTATATTTGACAGGTGACGAGGGGAGCATTGGCTCTGCCACGGACCTGACAGAAACAAGCTCTATTGTGGATGGAGACTGGACTATGGTGGATGAAAATTATTCCACCTTGAGTCTGACGCAATCTGAATTGGAACATATCTCTTTGGAGCTGGCCAGCAAAGGGCCACACAAATCACAAGTTCAGCTGCGGTAAATAAAATGCGAATTTGTGTCATCATTGGGATTCCTTTGAGTTGTTCTTAGAGGATGTGGACTAAGGATAATATCCTGTGGGGAAAACGGGATATTTCTTTGCCTTAGAAAGTGCCTTTGGGTCTTTTTGTAGGTATTTGCTTCATATTTTCATGGAAGCAGGATGCCTGGACTGGTGCATGGTCATAGGCCTCATCCTTCGAGAATCCTCAGTCGTCAATCAAGTGTTTAGTCTAGCGCAGTCTTCAGAGGTCGATGGGGAGATGTTGCAGAACATTAAGACAGGACTGCAGGCAGTAGAAAGCTGGGCTTCTGTAGACTGGTGAGTCGCATGAACCTCCTTTCACTATACATATGATCTAAGTTACTTTTCTAGGATACAACAGTAAACAAAGAAATAATACTGTTTAACTTATTCAAAACCGTAAACTGTTTGAGGAAGGTATTCTATATGTTGAAACAGTGAGGGAAAAAAATATTTGATCCCTTGCTGATTTTGTACGTTAGCCCATTGACAAAGAAATGATCAGTCTATAATTTTAATGGTAGGTTTGTTTTAACAGAGACAGAGTAACAACAACAAAAAATCCAGAAAAGCACATTTCAAAAAATTATAAATTGATTTGCATTTTAATGAGTGAAATAAGTATTTGATCCCCTCTCAATGAGTAAGATTTCTGGCTCCCAAGTGTCTTTTATACAGGTAATGAGCTGAGATTAAGAGCACTCTCTTAAAGAGAGTGCACCTAATCTCGACCTGTTACCTATATAAAAGACACCTGTTCACAGAAGCAGTCAGTCAAATCAGATTCCAAACTCTCCACCCTGGCCGAGACCAAAGAGCTGTCCAAAGATGTCAGGGACAAGATTGTAGATCTACGCAAGGCTGGAATGGGCTACAAGACCATCTCCAAGCAGCTTGGTGAGAAGGTGACAACAGTTGGTGCGATTATTCTCAAATGGAAGAAATACAAAATAACTGTCAATCTCCCTCAGTCTGGGGCTCCATGCAAGATCTCACCTTGTGGAGTTTCAGTGATCATGAGAACGGTGAGGAATCAGCCCAGAACCACATAGGAGGATCTTGTCAATGATCTCAAGCAGCTGGGACCATAGTCACCAAGAAAACATTTGGTAACACACTACGCTGTGAAGGACTGAAATCCTGCAGTACCCGCAAGGTCCCCCTGCTCAAGAAAGCACGTGTACAGGCCTGTCTGAAATTTGCCAGTGAACATCTGAGTGATTCAGAGGAGAACTGGGTGAAAGAGTTGTGGTCAGATGAGACCAAAATCTAGCTCTTTGGCATCAAATCAACTCGCCGTGTTTGGAGGAGGAGAAATGCTGCCTATGAACCCAAGAACACCATCCCCACTGTCAAACATGGAGGTGGAAACAGTATGCTTTGGGGATGTTTTTCTGCCAAGGGGACAGGACAACTTCACCGCATCAAAGGGACGATGGACGGGGCCATGTACCATGAAGTTTTGGGTGAGAACCTCCTTCCCTCAGCCAGGGCCTTGAAAATGGGTCATGGGAGTGACCCAAAACACACGGCCAAGTCAACAAAGGAGTGGCTCAAGAAGAAGCGCATTAAGGTCCTGGAGTGGCCTAGCCAGTCTCCAGACCATAATCCCATAGAAAATCTGTTGAGGAAGCTAAAGGTTCAAGTTGCCAAACGTCAGCCTTGAAACCTTAATGACTTGGAGAGGATCTGCAAAGAGGCGTGGGACAAAATCCCTCCTGAGATGTGTGCAAACCTGATGGCCAACTACAAGAAACATCTGACCTCTGTGATTGCCAACAAGGGTTTTGCCACCAAGTACTAAGTCAGGTTTTGCGAAGGGGTCAAATACTTATTTCATTCATTAAAATGCATATCAATTTATAACTTTTGTGAAATGCATTTTTCTGGATATTTTTGGTTGTTATTCTGTTTCTCACTGTTAAAATAAACCTACCATTAAAATTATAGACTGATAATTTCCTTCTCTGTGGGCAAAAGTACAAAATCAGCAGGAGATCAAATAATTTTTTCCCTCACTGTAATACCTGGTATAATTTATCTATGGAATTATTTTGTAACTGCTGACTTTTCCTATTAATACATTTTACAAGAGTTCTTATTTCAACATTTGAAGATGTGTAATGTGAACAGAGAAGTATGCATCCAATGATATGCATGGTATCTTGAATGAGCATAATTCTCATAGTAAAGCAGTAGGTTGCAATACCTAACTATGGCTAGGAAGCTCCAGGACAGTAGATTAAATAGGACGAAAAGCAAGAACCATCTCCGCCAGATAAAAGCATTGAAAAACCACTTGCAGGTTGACATAAAAAAACAAAAATAAGTATAGAAACCAAGATCAGTTTTAGTGAAAATTTGAACACCGTATATATTTTCATTGTGCAAAGGGCATCCACCTGTTGAGTTGGCTTAGTACACCGAGTTAATAACCAGAGAAAGACAGTTGCTGAATTTGCAGTTTTAAAATGTTTGAACTAATTACTTATTTTCTTTTCTTACGTTCTTTAGTCCTGGCTATAAGCCATTTTTAACCATTATCAAGCCACAACTGCAGAAACTGAGTGAGATATCAGAGGAACAGGTGCCACTGGAAGTCTTTCAGCCTACAAATCTATCAAGGGTGGCTGAACAAGCCAGTCCAAGGGTGGAAGAGAACCGGATTTCAGCTAACCACAGCGCTAGCCCTCAAAATGAGGCTGGTCCTAATACTTCAATTCGACATGATGAGGACATGCTTGGACTGGAGAAGGAAGACCATCCCCTTCAGGAAGGCAGTTATGATTGTACTGTCTCCTGACAGAATCAGACATGATAACTGTTTTAGTAAAGCTTCGTAATGATGGCATTGAAGAATACGGCTATTGGAAGGAAGTACAGTAATCACTTTTTTCCAAAACATATGTTTAGTTTTGCTTTACTTTGTTTTTGTTTTTAATGAATACTTCTTTTTACATGTGATGACTAGAGAATCTCCTTGAATTTGTGAATGCTTTCCCAGTAACTTCCTCAATTCTTTCGTTTATCTGATTCTATGAAAAACAGCAATATTCTGCTGTATTCCAAGAAGATTTATTTGAAGCTCTTGTAAGCTCTTTTTCCTTAATCATGCAGAACACCTACTCTATATCAGTGTATATGATCTTTATTGCATTTTTTTAAAATGAAAGAAAAAAAACTTGGAGACAATTCTAAAATTTACCCATCTGCACCATCCCCAACCCAGTTTTTGAACCAAAACTTGAACAAGTTGACAATGAAGCTTGCTCAGATGAAATGTTGATGCATTCTGTGTAGTTTAATTGCCTAAAGGAAATGATGGCCTGATTAAGCTAAATTCTGTTCTATAAATTATGCAGGTATCAGAAATTTGACATCACCAAATATTATATATTAAAGGTTGTAAAATACATTGTATCTTTTGTGAATACTCTTATATATTTTCAATATACTGTTTTTGCTTTTGGCTTTGCTCCACAGTGTAGGGTAGCTTTATCTATCTTGCATGTTTGTACTTTTAACTGCAGAAAAACTAAAAGTAAAGTTGCACTTCAATCAGAATGCAACTGATTTTTCATCTGGCATTAGTTGCAGTTTCATTTCGTCATTTAGTCTGTTCAGATCCATTCTGAACAAAAAGATTTTAAACGAATTACTGAATTCTTATTTATTTCAATTGTAAAGATGCTTTTCTCAAGATTATTTTTGTGTAAATAAAACCACTTTATATATTACTGCTATTAAGACTTTGTAATGGCAATGTACAGTGTATATATATATAAACCACCATCTTGCTAATATTTTATAATGCATATACTTGTAACTAAAAAATGTTTATTTTAACTTTCATACAACAATATTATGAAAAACTGGCTGCAGCAGAATCTCATGTTTGCTTGAGGTACTTATTTTTTCAATCTGCTGACTCCAGATTGGTATTATAAATACTGATGTGTAATATTAAATACCTGTAACAGTATTAAAATTTAAATATTGTTTGGCTTGTACTGTGCAGTTGGGAAAAATGCAGCACTACTACTTTTTCTACAGAAACCTAATACTTATTTTTATAATAAGGGTGTAATTAATACATACATGGACCAAAATCATTTATCTTTTAGGTAGTATGAGAATCAGCATCAGCCACAGTCATAGTTCATGAAATACTCTATGCGAATTCTGAATGAATATATTATGAACAGTCAAAAATATTGCTTCCTAACCTTAGCAAATTGAAGGTGGGTGGTCTTCAACTCCCAGAATTCTCAGCAATGGTTGCTGGAAATTGCCACGGTTGGAAAACCTGGTTAAGAGGGTCAAGAAAAATACTGGTTATGACTTTATATATTTGCTTAGAAAGGCATGGTCATGTCTTTTTATTGATAAATGTAATTAGACAGATTTTATTGCTGTTGTATAACCTTCACCATTGGTAAGACTATAAGTAGTGGTACATGTGCAATAACTTTTAAATAAAATATAAAGGGGTGGAAATGACCTAACTTTTCCATACTTCTGACATTGTATTTTGTCTACCATCATGGGTGCAAAAATTGTCATTTTTCTTACATCAGAAAAAAGAGACACTACTTTTCTATACTGTAGTATTGAACATATTAATAGCTATTGCCACCACAGCCTTAAGCACTACACTGCTGTGGTTCCAGCCTAAGCAGCATTTTTTTATAACAGCATTCATCACATGCATTATCTCCAGTGCTCTTAATTCTGTTACTCCTAATAAGCCCTTTTCACACCTCTACAATGGGGACATCTTCCTACTTTGGAACTTAAGCTGGTTCCTATGTTATTAGATACCTGCATTAGAAAATGGATGCCACCCTGAAAGCAGAAATATCCCCAACTGACCAGCATTTCCCTCTGAATAAACTGCATAATACTATTAAAATTGAAGGGTTTAAATAGTTCAATTGATGATAAGTATAGGAAGAAAGACATTCCATGTTCAGTGTGCAGCAGATCTAAAATTGTATAGGAAGGGCTACTTGAGCCACTTGCTAAAGCTCCAGTTCAAGAGGAATTCCCATTAGTCTCCTTCATTGGTATAGGTGATCATACAAGAAGCGTCTTCTCCAGTTTAAGGCAGAAACTGAATCACAGTTGTTTTTTTTATAGTGGAATGAAATCTGCACACTCAAACAATTCTGCTGGACTTCAAAGCAACAGGGTTTTAAAACACAATTCTTCCTGTTGCTAGGAGACAATGCAGTAGAGCTTGTTTGGTTTTTGCATCTGCTTTCTCTCCAAGCAACCAAATGATGAGAATGGGAAGAGATTCCATTTACCTAATAGATGAAGCAGTAAAGAATTTTCACCTAAATCTGATGGAAGAAGTCGCTGTAGCATGCATATTACTTACTTTGTTGAGGAAAGAATTGCCATTGATTGAAAGAATACAACTGCCTGGTCTAGTAAGGAGGTAGTGGAATGAGACAACTCACCACAGGATACCTGGCTGCAGGACAATTTAACAATTCAACTATTTAAAATAAATAAAATATTTAAATTTTTGTCATTCACATTGCATTCTGTTCCTCTTTTTGAATCCTTTCTTTAATGATTCTATTCCATCATTTCTTTGATTGTCCCGCAGCGAGTTGTTCCCACAGCGAGTCGGTCATGACGAGTTGTCCTGCAGTGAGTTGGCTGCAGCAACTTGGCTGTGGCAAGCTGGTTGTGGCGAGTTGGCCATGACAAGTTGGCTGAGGCGAATTGTCACAGACCAAGGTGGTACAATTATTCAAAGTAGGGAACACCCTCCTTTCAGCTGACTTCAAAACTGAGTGCTGCATTGAAGAACTATGTGATTCAAAATCTTACTGGCAGAGCACTTGCCATTCTGCAATTTTACCAGACGGCTATTGCAAGAAGGAAAAAAAAAGGGGGGGTATGGTCTCTTTCCACAAGCCACTCTTATTCTCTGTCCTAGTTGGTAACAGCCATGTGAGCAGTTTGAAATTGAAATTTAGGAGGGGAACTGAATATTCATATACTTTTATGTCTTCCCTCTAGTACAGTGGTTCTCAACCTGTGGGTCGGGACCCCATTTGGGGTCGAACAACCATTTCATGGGGGTCGCCAAACAGCGCAGTCCGCCATTTTTTTCCCCCTTTTCCTTAGCTGTGCTACTCCCTTTTATTCTATTGGCTTTTGAAAGCCAATAGAATAGACTCTCTTGAATAGAGTCTAATTCTATTGGCTTTCAAAAGCCAATAGGAATTGTCCAGGCTGTCTCTGCCCTGCTGAGCCCGCCATTCCCATTCTGCAAACGGTGCTGCACCAGTTGAGTAGTCCTCAACTTACGACCGGTTGGGGGTCGCGGCATTAAAAAGGTTGAGAACCACTGCTCTAGTAGACAATAAATCTTCAGTGAAGTGGCAACTCAACAATCTGAATTTCTTCAATATTTGAATTTCTCAATCTCCAGTCATCTACCTTATATTTCTCTTCCTTCCCAACTAATTTTCTTAAATGTCCATTTGATAATGATCACCTGATTTCTCCCTGCACTCTGATTCTTTTTATCTAAACTAGTCTCACTTTGCTTCCAAATTCCTAGTGTATTCACTGTTTTAATCTGCTACTAACACGTTACTGTTCTTACAAATATATTGTGATCTTGCTGCCAAACTGAACTATCTCACATTTTGAGCTTGACCTGTTCGCTGCCTCCGATATAGTGACTCACAGTTGCTGCAGAATCCTTCTGCAGGGGTGTTAAACTGCCGGCCCGTGGGCTGGATGCATCGTAGTGAAACCATGCCCACCCCATTGTCAGCAATGGCAAAAAAGTCGCGATACGTCACGACACGTCATGTGACGTTTGCTAGTTTGACACTCTTGCCTTAAGATCTCAGGTTTCATGACAAAGCTCCTTGCTGGGTTTTTTTTTGCTGCTCTCCAATTCAATTATTTAATGCTTCCATTGTTTATTATTTCTGTACCTTTGTCTTGTCTCTCTGTAGATATCATTCCCTGCTCAACTCTATTGTCTCCTCTCCTCCAAAACAAGTAGTCTTCAAATGGATTCCTGTGCATATTTGTTTTTCTCTCCACAAATAGAACACAAGTATACAGGGTCATCATTTTCTCTCCAAAACCAATTATCATAGTTTTGGGAATCCCTATATTAAATATGGGCTAAGTAACTTTAGGCCAATCACGCTTTCTCAGCTTTGCTTACCTCACAGGGTTGTTGTGGGGAAAATAAGGAAGAGGGAGCTGTGTTGGATGTATTCAGCATCTTTAATTTCTTATAAAATAAAAAAGATGGAATAATAAACTCAAATAAATGCATGCAGCCATTTGTCCCTTCCATCCCTACATGCCCTCTTCCTTCATATAGATCTAGCTGTCTTAGTTGCCATATGTGTAGGTAGTGCTGAAGATGTTTTTTTTCCCAACATCAATTGAAAAACTGAGAATTGAAGTCCACAAGTCTTAAAGTTGTCAAGGTTGGAGACCTCTGGTCCATTACATACAAGGAATCTAAAACTACATTTTCATCATTATTTCTCAACCTTGGCAGTTTTAACATGTATGAACCTCAACTCCCTGAATTCCTCAGTGAGCATGCTGGGGAATTAACACAAACCTAAAGCCACTGACATTAAGAAATGCAATATTAACACACCATTTATAAAGATTCATTAAGTCAGCAAACAATTTACAATACAGAAAACTTTCCATTTTTTTCCCCAAATTCATGCTAAAATTCAGAATTTTAAAATGTAGCATGCTTTTTAGAAACTAAAAAAGTACATTATAAATAAACACAGCAGAGTCAGTAACAATAAATGTGATGAAATATCTTTGTTAAAATACAGGAATTCACAGAAAAAAAGATGCATACTATTTGTGCTATCTTAACATTCAAACGGTTAGTGCACTTTTTACATGCATTTGCAAAAGATATGCTCTGGTAACTCCCACATGTGCCATTACCTGGTACACATAATGTTATATTACATTACCTGGATGTATTGATATATGATTTCACCTTTAGTTTATTCCTTTGCCTTGGTTTGGTTGAACAAAGAAATAAGAACTAAAATCTGTCTAAAGTTCTGATAATCAAACTTTTGAGTTTTCTAATCTGGAAAGTAAGCTTCTATTGGCCAATGGGGGAAGTCACAGATTTTCAGTATAACAGGTTTTTTTTTTTCATGCTTTGCTCCTAGATATTCTTTAGTTTCATAAAGTAAAGGAGATACTTGGCCAAAAGGTGGCAGTAGCAAACTCTTTCTTATGCTTGCCAAGACATCTGTGTGGATGCGTTAAGAGAAATTTGCAGGAGTTGAGTGACTTGTTTAGTGGGTGTGCATTGGATGAATTATAATAGCTTCTGGGACTCCTTTCCCCAAACTGAGTTTGTGTTGTTGCCTTGTGCCAATTCCTTATGCCTGGAGATTTGACGGCCAGTTGTCAGGCTACATGCGAAGCATCCTTATCTAAGTAATATGTACATCCACCAGAGAAATTCTGGGCCTGAATTCCAAGCTCTTAATATGGGGATAGTCTTGAATCACTCAGAATACTGGCAAGGGTTCCTGGACTCCACTGTTACCTGACTTTCCTGAATCCTGAATATGGAACATGAATTCTAAGGGACAAGGTTTCTTTTAGTGATTATAGAAGGAAACTTCTTGGCCAAATTACTGTGCACCCTGCCAGCCTTCATGTGTAACTTCAGTGAGTGTTTTCTCAAACATCTATATTTGTTTTGCTGTATTTGACAGGTGATGAGGGGAGCACTGGCTCCGTCACGGAGCTGACAGAAACAAACTATTGTGGATGGAGACTGGACTATGGTGGATGAAAATTATTCTACCTTGAGTCTGACACAATCTGAATTGGAACATATCTCTTTGGAGCTAGCCAGCAAAGGGCCACACAAATCACAAGTTCAGCTGCAGTAAATGAAATGGGAGTTTGTATCATCATTGGGATTCCTTTGAGTTGTTCTTAGAGGATGGGGACCAAGGATAATACCCTGTGGGGAAAACGGAATATTTCTTTGCCTTAGAAAGTGCCTTTGGGTCTTTTTGTAGGTATTTGCTTCATATTTTCATGGAAGCAGGATGCCTGGACTGGTGCATGGTCATAGGCCTCATCCTTCGAGAATCCTCAGTCGTCAATCAAGTGTTTAGTCTAGTGCAGTCTTCAGAGGTTAATGGGGAGAAGTTGTAGAACATTGAGACAGGACTGCAGGCAGTAGAAAGCTGGGCTTCTGTAGACTGGTGAGTTGAACCTACTTTCACTTTATACCGGTTATGTCCAAATGAAAAAGAGCTCCTTTTCTAGGAAGTGTAGTGTTTTAAATGGAAGACATAGCAAAAATTGATAATGTTTAATCTCTTGAAAGAAGTAACTCTGTATATTGAAAGGTAATGTCTGGTTTAACAGGTTTTAATATATTGTGGAATCTTATTATAACTGACTTCTTATTTAAATTGTTGAATTTCAATGACCCACAATAAAAGATATATCCTGAATTAGTCAATGTTGTTTTTCTTCTAAACACAATTATTTTAAAAGAAAATTGTTTTCTTGAAGTTTCTAATATGTTCTTGGATATTTAGGCGTACAGCATGTACCGTATATTCTGGCGTATAAGGCGACTCGACGTATAAGACGACCCCCGACTTCGGCACTGATTTTAACGCTTGCGAAAGTCGTCTTATACGCCGGAAAGTACGGTATATACATCACACAGTTTATAGACATAATATAATTTGCTTGATAAGTGCCTATTGATACTTATTTTACAACATTCTCCTGTTATGTTTCTTGGTTAATTAAGGCCAAATGGCATATTGAACAAATACACAAGTTGATTATCTGAGTGTCCCACACAATTTATTGTGCTCTTTTAACATGATAATCTAAATTTCCATCCCATTAACAATTCTGAGACAAAGGCACTTTTTTCATCAAAGTCATAAATTCTACCACACATTATAGAGTGGAACATTTTTGTAACTAGCTTGTGAGTTAAAATTACCAATATATTCTAAGAAACTTAATCAGTGTAAGTCAATATTTATCTGATTTACAACTGCAAATAATTTTTAGACTATTGTGCCAAATGTTAAAGCTTTAAAATGTTGAAAAACTACTTCCAAATAAATGAATACATTCATTTATCACATTTACTTGGAAGTAAATGTGAACAAATCCCATATCAAATTTTGAGTGATTGTAAACTAGATGTTACCTCTGTTGCTCTTATCATATTTATTACTTTCTGCCATATACAATTTAGTATCCTGTGATCTGATACACTAGCAGCAATGTAACAGATTCCATTATGAATTTCAAGAACTGCATAAGATACCACTGCAACTTAACTAGGTAATCAAGATGCTTACAGAACATTGCTTTTTTTACTTCAAATAGTAACAGCACCTTCCTTAATTTCATCTCCAATAATATTGCAGCAACTCTCTAAATTCCTGACAGCACGGCCTCAAAGGCTGCAGATTATGGAAATTGAAATTTAAAAGG